CAAATCATTTTAAATAAAATTAAAAATTACAAAGAAACACATAACCTTAGAAACTAATGACATGTATGAAGAAATTAGTATAATTTATTGCAAAAAGCCCATGTACTCAACTCCTATGATTTGGTTATGGTTCACATATGCTAAGTTGGGGTAGGTTTCTATTTGAATCGCCCATGTCCTTACTCACTACCTACGTATCATGTATAACTCTCTAAAAATCCCTAAAATATCAGTAATAATAATGAGTACCATTTTCTTTTTCTAATGAATTTTTATTTTATATTTTTCTAATTTTTAGTGGCTATGTTTAAAAGGGTGTGAATTAATAATAACCATAACCCAATTGAACTAAATTGAAAAAACTGTTAATAAAATAAACAAGTTAGAAAGTTTTAAATACTGTATGATTGAGGGTTGATTAGTTTGATTATTTGATATGATTTGAATATTTTTTTGATCGGATTTAATTGCTTAATGTAACTAAAATTTGGCCTATATGTACACGAATTCATTATAAAAAAAAAGTATAAAATATGGTCTTATTAGGTTTGTATTAATGTGTATATTCCAAAAATGTAATTTTGTGTATTTTCTAATCACGAAATTAAAGGTATTTGGCGAATTTATCGTGCATGAAATGATAAACTTTTTTGAAGGTTAGGAGAAGGACCTGATGCGGGTGAATGGAACTTGGTGGAGGAAGTTGAAGAAGTTCCACGTGTTGTTACGTAGCCGTGCTAAACTCCTTGGTGGTTACCTCTCCGGATTGACCATCCTCAAACTCGAGTAACATTTTGTTTGCTTAGAATAAAGCTCCAAGGATTCCATATGTTAGCCAAGAGAAAAATCTTGTCAATGTATTACTCAACTTCAATTAGCCATATCTTCTTTATTACAAGGAATTTTCAGGTGATTCAAATTGGAGATCATAGTAGAGTCCGAGAGCTTTCCAACGATTGTTCATATGCAAAATTTGAGCAAGAAACAAAGAAGTTATAAACTTTTAAAGTTGAGTTGTCCAGGAAGTAGCGAGGAGCGCTCGCTCCCCCTAGTGGAGCGCCCGTTCCTCACACTGGAGCGCCCACTCCTAAGGACGCCAGTTGAAGTTTGCAAAAGTGAGGAGCGCCTGCTCCTACCATTTGGAGAGGCCGCTCTAGAAGCTCTGTTTCGAACGGAAAACTTTGTTTCTTCTATGCTTATTTTGCTATCTTTTAATCTTGGCCTTTCATTTGTTATCCAAGGGATGTAATTTAAGAACTCTAGGGCTTGTTTGTAAAGCCTTTAAATAGGGATAAGCTTGCTTTTGGGAACAATCTTTGCTCAACTTTGAAATCAATGAGATTTTCTCTCTCTACCCATAATCTTTGTGATTATTTGTTATCTTTGTGATTGCTACTTTATAATCTTTGTGGTTACATCTTAATCCTAACTTTAGTTGGTGTTGACTTTGATTAAGAACTCCTATTTCATAGATCTTGGTTATTTTTGAGACATGTTTATCTTGTGTTGTTGCTTTGTAATTGTTGTTAGTTGATTTTCCACTCTTTTCTTAGTTAATTCATATTAGGACCTTAAGCAGATCTCAATTCTCATGGTTTAAAGTGACGAGGGTAAGAGATCAAACTCCAATCTTAAGGTTGGAAGGTGCAATCTTTCCTAGTAGACCAAACTTACTTGTTATTCTATACAAGGTAAACCTAGTTTACCTTGTAAATAAAAGGTTACCAAAATAAATGAGGCTGCTCCCATTAATCAACCTAATATGCATGTTAGGTGGTAAAATAAGTAATTTTTTGCAACTTCTTTATTTAAAGAAAATAAATAAATAAAGTAAAATAAATCAAATATTGAGATCTTACTCACAACATTACCATCACAACCACCACCACCACCCGAATTCTATCACAGCTACCACCATTTGTCGATCTTCTCGACAATTAACCATAGAAGCTTTCCTTTCGTCTCATTGTCTTCTTCTTCTTGTTCTTCCTTTCTCAAAAATAATGGCCCCAACGCCGCTTCGTGGGGTTTTCAAATAGACATCATATTAGCAAAAAGTGTAAAATTAAGATTACATTAACTCCTTAGGGAAAACATCTTTTTCGCAGCGGCATTTTCATCTCTACAACAATGGTGTTGCTCGTGTGGATGGAGGAGGAATTTCGAACAGTAATGGATGTAATGTGAGAACTAAGAAAGGAAAAAGACAAGAACTCCAATACTTATTTGTTCCCAAGTTTATTAGTGAAATTACCAATGTACCCCTTGATGTACCAACTATATATGTATATCAGTCTGATTAACTTGTAATTCCGAACGATTATTCGAACTCGACTTTGGTCACCTTGTTTAGTCGAGAGAAAATACAAGTTTATCTTCATGATTAAAAAAAAAAAAAAAAAAAAAAAAAAAAACTATTACCTAGTGTCATTTTTATATATAAATAAACAATTATTTATTAAATGTCGGCCCACTGTTGTTGATTTATTTACAAAAATGACATGTTGGCTGGGATTTTATATTTATCTATTTATAGAAATGCCTCTAGATAAATTATCACAAAGATAAACGGGGCTTCTCTTTAGTTTAGTCATCAATAATTTTCACAAGTACTAATGTTGTACAAAATAACCTAAATGCATAATTTACTTAAATATATTAAAGACAATATTACCCTTTTTATAATTTCCAGTATCCCACCCTAATTTCATTTTTAAATTATATAGCCTATTTCGTCCATTTTTCTATGTACTGTATGGTATGAATCAAAGAAAGAGTGCTTGTGCTTGTTGATGAAAGAAAGCTTCTGCCATTTTTCTTCTACACTACCTATTTCCCATTGATCCACCTCTTAACAATAATAATTTAAGCGTTAAAGAAATCCAGTACCCTTTACCCCCGGAAGTAATTTCCAATACCCTTTATCATCCCCTAAAAATTAATTACGGTACCCTTCATCACCCCCCGGAAATATATTCCGGTACCTTTCATCACCCTCTAGAAATATATTCCGGTACCCTATATCATCCCCCAAAAAGTAAATTTTGTTAGGTTTTACAGTAATTCAAAAACAAAGAATTATTTTAAAATTGTGGGAACAAAACCTAAACAATGTATAATTCCAATCAAATTATACAACAACCAAATACTAATTAAAGTATTACAAACCAAGCACCAAACTAATAAAGTATTTCAAAAATTACAAGAAAACACTAATATAAAAGTATCTAAACTTGCCTCAACTCCAAGCCTTGAAGATGAACATGAACATGAGAATATTAATTACCACTTGAGTCTCAAACCTTGATACTTTGTCTTAGGCGTGTATGCACTTTCCTAAAGAGGTTAATTTCCCCCACAACGGTTCTTGGGTTCAATCCGGAAATCCTCTTTGAGATACAAAAGACAGCAATTCGTTCTTTGCACTAAGAATCGAAATACATATGACAAATTCACAAAGATCGGTTTAATTGAAAGAGTTTAGATGAAGAGATTGCAAGTTTCTTCAAATAAAATTGTAGAGAAAACAAGGGAAAAACCAGAGAGCAAAAATCAGAATCTCTCCCTCTTTTTTTAATTTCGCAATTAAAATAACAAACGAAACCGCAACTGCCAGGGCCGCGGGCGCGGCAGCCAGAGCCGGGGGCGCGGCTACCCATGCCGCGGGCGTGGACAAGGTGAATTTAGATTCACTCTCAGATTCTGGAGATGGCTGGCCAAGCCCATGCTACTGGCGCGGCACACCATGCCACGGGCGTGGCACATAAGGTCGCGGGCGCGGCTTTCCGCGGCTTCCCAACCACAACCTCTCCTTAACAAGGAAAGAGCTTTCCCCTAGCACACTCTAAATTTCTAACAAATCCGACAGTGATCCTCATGCCCCTGAAATTAAAATCACTAGTGAATATTAGGAAATTTATATCGACAATGGATCTTAAGCCCGAACAGTAGTTCCAATAGGTGTACATGTTGAAATTTATTTGTTCGATTGTGTTTGCAGATTGAATGTTTAGGGTGATTTTTTTGTTGAAATGTTAGGGGTGATTACATAATTAGGATTTAGGGGTGAAAATGGTTTAGTTTAAAACTGGATAAAATTGGAAATAAAAGTTTTAAATATTTTTAAAGTTATTCTGCATTTAGGCAAATTGTTACGTGCATTTAGGGCTTGTTTAGTTAACCTTATTTTTGCTTATCTGATTTGATCTGTTCAGATGTGATCTGATCTGATCTGAATGTCAAATTTCACCGAACTTTAATTTTAAGTGTACAATAATGTATAAGGAAAAAAATATATCAAGTGGGGTCTTATTAGATTCGTAATAATGTGTATTTTTTTAATATGTAATTTTCATAATTTTTTTCATTACGAAATTAAAGATATATAGCGATAAAAAACTTCACATAAAACGATGATCTGATCGGATCTAAACTGAAATTATTTTTTCTGAAATAAGTAAAAATAAGATAAATTAAATAAAGCCTTAGAGCACCAGCAGCAATGGGGATTCTTCTCCTTTTACATCCTTTAGCTCTTCTTCATGGATGATGTGAAAATTTGTAACAGGATCCATTTACTGATAGGATAAGAGCAAATCCTTTCTATGAAAAGGAGATTAGGCCTCGTCCGACGAGCCAAAAGCTGAACCAAAAAAAAAAAAAAACAAAAGTAGCGTGGAAGGCGGAAACTACCAAATGCAACGGTCACTTACATTTAAAGGGTGACACTTGTCACAATCTAAATGGTGAAATGTTTTTTGTGACTTAAAATTGTAAATCGGCTATAATTTGTAAACGGTACTTATTTGAGAAAATAAAAGGCACCAACGGTCATAAAAAAATTTTCTCTATAAAATCAGTATAATTTTTCCATATTTTCACACACTTTCATTTTTTGCATTTTTCCCCTTTAATCTCATATTTGCGGAAAAAATCTAATATCACTCAAACACAAAAAAAAAATTTCTTCATTTCACTTCCAATATCAATTACTCTTCAATATGGATCGTAATAATTCAAATGACGGGAATAATATGAATTTTCCAAATAATCCAAACTTTCAATATAATCAAAATAATCCTCCTTTAGATCCAAGTTTATTGAGTAATCCTCAGTTTCAAGCTGCTTTACAATGGTATAGTAGTCAATCAAGACCAATAAATGTCAATAATATTCCACAATGTCAACCTTCTTTCCCATTTCCTCAAAGTAGCTCGTCATCTCAACAGCCTCTTGGTGATATGTCGGGTTTTCCCATTTCTGAACATTTCACTCAGAACATAGATCAATCACTGGGAGGTTTTGGTGGTAGCAATGCAACTCCAATAGAGGGGAGTGGTGATGAACATGTGGAACAACTAGTGGGGGCGCAACATCTAGAAGACATTGACGATGTTGATGTCGAAATTGTTCCCGAACAAAATGTCAATGCCACCGGGCAAAGGAAAAACCAATCATGGAGCATAGCTGAAGACAAAGCACTTGTATCGGCCTACATAAATGCAGGAGGTGACGTAGTGATAGGAACCAAGACAAAGAAAAGTGGGTTATGGGTTGAAATATATAACCATTACGAAAGTTCTAGAATAGAAAACCCCGATGAAATAAAAGTAAGGAACATTAAATCTATGCAAAATCGATGGGATTTTATCAATTTACATTGTGGTAAATTGGTAGATGCATATAGGTATCATTATCAAACCAAGGGTAGTGGTGAGTTCGAGCAAAATTTGGAGAAATTTGCTCACAAAGATTATTACGCAACTAACAACAAGATGTTTTGTTTCTTGCATTGTTTTGAAACTTTGAGAAAATATCCGAAATGGGATCCTTCATTGACCAAAGATCAATCGAATATGTTACCTGGTGGCCTACTTTCGGTAGCGGTAAAAGATCACAACCTGATTCACCATCCGAGGTTGGAGGAAGAGCTAAATGACCTGGTGGCATAAAACAAACAAAGATGAAAGGTAAAGAATCTACTACTTCATCTTCAAGTATAAATCTTAAATCGTTAAATACAAATTTTTAACGAAGTTGGTGATAAGTTGAATGATTTGGGTGGGCGACTTCTGGATCAGTTGAAGGAAAGAGATGAACTAAAAAAAAGCACAAGTTGAAGAAAAGAAAAGGTAAAAGGACGAGGCTATGAAGTTTAGAATGTTAGAAAGGTTAATGCAGAAGCCCGTTCTTGATGAAGTTGAATTAGAAATGTATAAGAAATTTAGAGATGAATTCAGTAGTAGATTTTCGATTTGATTTAATTTACTTGAATGTACCGGGTTATCATTATTTCTTAGTATTGTTATTATTATTGTATGTTTTATTATTATTGTTAGTCTTGTTATTGTCATTGTAACTAGAATTATTGTCAATGTACCATTTTAATATGAGTGTAATTTCTATGTATTACTATGACGTTTATTTGTACTAAATTTAGTTAAAGTCTGTTAATGTTATTTTATATTTATTGTGATATTTTATAAGATTGCTCCCAAAAACATTACATCTAACCAAAATCCTATCTTCTAACATCCCTTGTTTTATGACCACATATCCTTACCAGAAATCTTATCTTTTGATTAACCTTATCTTATTTTTGTCTAGATAATTTATAAGATTGCTCCTAATAACATTTCATCTAATCAAAATCCTATCTTCTGACATCCCTTGTTTTATGACCACTTATCACTAGACAAATAAGGTAAAAAAGCCCCGGTTCAAACCCCCCCTAAGGCACCGGTTTTGAACCGTTGGGGATTTGAGGGATGCCAAATCCCTAAAAATTTGGCACCGGTTCAAAACCGGTGCCAACTAAAGACTTTGGCACTGGTTAACCGGTGCTAACTACAGGCTTTGGCACTGGTTAACCGGTGCCAACTGAAGGCTTTGGCACTTGTTAACCGGTGGCAACTGAAGGCTTTGGCACCGGTTAACCGGTGCCAACTACAAAGGCGCGAATTTTTTTTTTATTTTTCAACACTATTGGCACCGGTTTTTAGCAAGAACCGGTGCCTTCAACTAGGATTTTTTTTTTTGGCAATAAAATATAATAATATTAATACTAATAAATATAATAACAATGAGATCATGCATTAATTCTAACATTAGGATATTATATTAATAATAATTATTATTATTATATTTATAATAATAATTATTATTATTATTATTATATTAATAATAATAATTATTATTATAATATTAATAATAATAATTGAAATAATAACAATACATAATATTGATAACAATACAAAATATAATACTAATTAGAAAAACGTGTCATAATTACGAACAATATTAATCAGTAATGTAGTACACAAGTTCAAACAGAAATGAAATTTACAGATTAAATATGATGAAGGACGCCAACATGTCTCAAACTTCATTAAGTTCTTCGCTCGTGAACGGACGTCTGGTTTGTCCCTTGCAAAACTTGGAATAAACAAAACGTAAGTTAGGAGTGAATTACTTAGGTTATATATGCATGTAAAAATACATTTACAAGAAAGGCCTATTTGACTACTATGACGCCTATTTCCTACATTTCTTGTCAAGTGAACTCATACTTACTCATAACATGTCATTATCACTTATTTATAGGTGGCTAAGGCTTGAAATTACAAGAAAATAGCAATGTAAGAGTTTTAGGACGCATTTTCAACCAAAATGGCCCAAGTAAGGCCTATTTGACTGCTATGATGCCTATTTCCTACATTTCTTGTCAAGTGAACTCATACTTACTCATAACATGTCTTTATCACTTATTTATAGGTGGCTAAGGCATGAAATTACAAGAAAATAGCAATGTAAGAGTTTAGGACGCATTTTCATCCAAAATGGCCCAAGTAAGGCCTATTTGACTACTATGATGCCTATTTCCTACATTTCTTGTCTAGTGAACTCATACTTACTCATAACATGTCTTTATCACTTATTTATAGGTGGCTAAGGCATGAAATTACAAGAAAATAGCAATGTAAGAGTTTTAGGACGCATTTTAATCCAAAATGGCCCAAGTAAGGCCTATTTGACTGCTATAATGCCTATTTCCTACATTTCTTGTCAAGTGAACTTATACTTACTCATAACATGCCTTTATCACTTATTTATAGGTGGCTAAGGCATGAAATTACAAAAAAATAGCAATGTAAGAGTTTTAGGACGCATTTTCAACCAAAATGGCTCAAGTAAGGCCTATTTAACTACTATGATGCCTATTTCCTACATTTCTTGTCAAGTGAACTCATACTTACTTATAACATGTCTTTATCACTTATTTATAGGTGGCTAAGGCATGAAATTACAAGAAAATAGCAATGTAAGAGTTTTAGGACGCATTTTCATCCAAAATGGCCCAAGTAAGGCCTATTTGACTACTATGATGCCTATTTCCTACATTTCTTGTCTAGTGAACTCATACTTACTTATAACATGTCATTATCACTTATTTATAGGTGGATAAGGCTTGAAATTACAAGAAAATAGCAATGTAAGAGTTTTAGGACGCATTTTCATCCAAAATGGCCCAAGTAAGGCCTATTTGACTATTATGATGCCTATTTCCTACATTTCTTGTCTAGTGAACTCATACTTACTCGTAACATGTCATTATCACTTATTTATAGGTGGCTAAGGCTTGAAATTACAAGATATAGTCAATTGCATACCTCTTCAAGCTGTAGTGTGTCTGTACAATGACTTACTATGTCATACATGAATCTCATCACGTATAGGCCACAATCAACTCCGTTATCTTGTTATGTGCACTAGCATAGGAACAAAGTAAATGAATCAAACATGCATATATAGCAAATTAGTAACATTTTACGCATTGTTTATTACGAAAATCACAATATCATGTGGCATTACCATCGGTGATTTCCATGTAGGACCTTGAGGAGCTCGACAATTTATCTTCTTCATAACACTATATAGAAAAGTAAGTTCAAATTTGATTAGTATTATTAATAAATGAGTTAGGTAATGATAATCAACAACAGGAATTGAAGCTATATTTACTTTTGCATTATGGACTTCACGAGGCGCTTTCTTGGATGAGGTAACCGAGCAGAATCAAAAAGGAAGATTGTGTTACTGGAAACACAAATCACCAGCAGGGTCCAATGCAAACTACGTACATACATTCACAAGAGACAAACAAATCAATAATTAGCCATGTACAACATATAAACTGGGGAAACAAATGAATTTGACATAATCAGATGTACTCCTCATAATATGGGGCGAATATAAACTTGTCTCCCGCACGCACTGATTCCTTGATACTCCGTTCAACATAGTACAACACGTCAGCATGGTTGCCTAAGATTCTAGTAGTGGAGATCTGCTCAGGGCATAACCACCCAATTTGACACGGAGAATCAATCTCACATAAGTGTTCCTGGAGTGCTCTGCATGCATGATAATAGAATGTTAATGGAAAACTAAACGACAATCACCACTAAACCGAATAACATAATTTGAGTACTAGTTGAATTACCTGATGCATATTTGAATGAGGGAAATGTTAAGCATTGCACCACTTAGAAATTCCGTCACATCTTCTTGATTAAGCCATGCAATTGCATCATCATCATAGTGGAACATTTCCTTAGGTAGTGGAACTTGAATGGGGGTGTCACTAGGCAACACACAAACACGATTGTGCAGATAAGTTAACTCCTTAGAGAGCGATTGAAGCACCGTGTCTGCAACAAGTGGAGTAGCTTGCATAGTTGTACCTCGCGAAGAGCTCTTCTTCGATGCTTTTCCACTCACCGACCCCTGTTCACTCCTCTTCTTTGACACCGGTTGACCAACGCCTTTTTGCCCCTCCACCCTCTTCTTTGGAGTTTGGCTTTTCCTCTACATCTAATAAAACAAATCACACAAATGGTTAGAAAAGTATTCCATCCAACTCTTGGGAAAAAAATCGGGTATAGAATACAACGTGAACTCAAAATCTTAATTACCTGGTTCATATACCGTATCCAAGCACATGGCCATTGCACAAAACTACCTATTGCTGCCCAAAGTGTAGTGAACTCATCCTCCTCTACGGGCACAGGTATTAGAATGTCCTCGAACCCAGCAACCACAGAATTGATCCCGACCGAATAATGTTGTGGCCTAAGCAGTCGTAAATGGACCGTACCTTGTTTGGTTGGTTGTGCACTACCATATGCAACCACATTCAAAGCTCCACTATATGATTCGCCCGGGTGTAGAAGTGCACAATGGGTCTCTTCCTACACCAATTTGGAACATCACATGTAAGACCAAAAAGTATCACAAGTGGCCAAATAGATCTTGTAACTTAATTATAGATGAAACCAAATAGATTTTGTTTGAAAGAATCCTGACATTTTCATTGTACTTTGTAGGAGTCGAGAGTGTTTTCTTTTTGAATTAGAGAGATCTTGTAACGGAATTATAGATGAAACCAAATAGATTACTTATATATTCTTGAAGTGTTAAATTTGTCAAATTACCACTAATAACTTTTATGATGGAGAGGAAAAAAAAATTGTATCATTCGTGTTTTTAGTTAATGGTGAAAACTTGCCTTGGTTGGGTATAGTCATATGCATTATTAGTCAATTAGCTCGAATAGCAATAGTTGAGCAAGTTTGCAAAAACGAAAACAAAACAAGGAACAGAGAACAGGAACAGCAACACAACAACAAGTTCTGCCTGCATGCTGCTGTTCTGCCTGCATACTGCTGCTGTTATGCTTGAGCGTTGCTGTTGTTCTGCCTGGCTGCTGCTAATCTGCCTGGCTGCTCTGTTATGCCAGCATGCTGTTGCTATTTTGGCAGCATGCTATTGCTGTTCTGGCAGCATACTGGTATGCAGGCTGCTGCTGCTATGCTGTCTACTGCTATGCTGCTATGCTGCCTTGCTGTCTGCTGCTGTCTGCTATGTTGTATGCCTAGCAACACAACAGAAA